GAATCTTACTATGTGTGCACTGGCCATCTGTATGCCTTCTTCAGTCAAGGATCTGTTTAAATCTTCTTACACATTTCTTTTTTTTTTAATTTTTCTATTATTATTTTTGTAATTTCAGTAACATTGGATTATAACAATATGTAGCTTTCAGATGTACATTGTAATATATTTTGAATTCTGTGTAGATTACATTACCCATTTCTTATTAGGTCGTTTGTTTTCTTATTGAGTTTGAGATTCTTCATAAAGTTGGTTTATAAGTTCTTAGTCAGATTTATGATTTGTAAATATTTTCTCCCTGTCTATAGTCTCTCTCTCTATTTTTTTTAACAATGACTTTCAAAGAGCTGGAGTTTTTAATTTTAAAGAAGTGAGGTTTAGTAATTTGTTATTTTAGAGATCATACTTCTGATACTATATCCAAGAAATCTTCACTTAATCCACGATCATATTTTTGCTTCTGGAAGTTTTATATTTTAAGTTTTACATTTAGGCTTATGATTTTTGTGTGCGTGTGAGGAAGATTGGTCCTGAGCTAACATCTGTGCCAATCTTCCTCTATTTTTGTGTATAATTCCGCACCTGGGATCCAAACCTGTGAGCTCCCGGCTCCCAAAGCAGAGAGCATGAACCCAAACACTACACCACTGGGCCCATGATTATTTTTAATCCATCTTTGTATATGGTACAAAGTGTAAGTTTAAGTTCTTTTTTTGCATATGCATATGCAATAATTTCAGCAACATTTGTTGAAAGATAATAGATCAATGTATTTCTGGTGATGCAAAACTTTTATAATGAAAATTAAGGAGAATATTGTTTTCTGTACATTCACATTACAAAACTCTTGCTAACGTGTGTCTCTTTCATTAAGTAAGATGTTCATAGAGCTAAGACTTGTCAGTAAAAGCTGTGTTCCTCCCAGAGAAGACCATGGAGAAGACTATGTTAGAGGAATTCGAATTTCCAAAAATTTCCCTGTAATCAGTGTTATGTATGGTTGTTTTATCCTAAATTCAACAGACTAATTTCATGTCCCTTTTAGAATAAAGCATTTTAATGGTTATGTCATTTCCACTTAAAATTAAAATCAATTACCTTGTTTCCTGTATCTTACTCTAATTCTTTATTTTATGATATTCATCATAAGAATACCAGAGGTAACATCACAGACAATCCTTTTTTCCTTACTAACCAACATTCACACTTGGCAGAACCATAGGCTGTCGGTCTACAATCCGTCCGTGTTAGAAAAATAATGGGTTTCACAGATGCTAACCTGACCTAAATCACACAGCCACCTAACTATAAAATAAACATGAGAAGCCATGTCCTCTTTCTAGTCTAATTCTCTTTCCTTTTTTCCCTAGCTCTATTGAGATATAATTGACATACAGCAGTGTGTAAGTTTAAGGTGTACAATGTGATGATTTGATATATGTATATATTGTGAAATAGCTACCACACTAAGGTTAGTTAACACATCCATCACCTCACATAATTACTTTTTTAATGTGGTAAGAACATTTAAGATCTACTCTCTTAGCCACTTTAAGTATATAATTCAGTGTTGTTATCTATATTCACCATGCTGTACATTCTAGCCCCAGAACTTATTCTCCTTATAACTGGAAGTTTGTACCCTTTGACCAACACCTCGTCATTTACCCCACCCCTTAGCCCCTGGCAACCACCAATCTACTCTGTTTCTATGACTTTCACTTTTTTAGATTCCATATATAAGTGATAGCATATAAAATTTGTCTTTCTCTGTCTGACTTATTTCACTTGGCAAAATGTCCTCAAGATTTGTCTATGTAGTCACAAATAGCAGAATTTCCTTCTTTTGTGGCTAAATAATGCTCCGCTGTATATGTATACCACATTTTCTTGTCTATTCATTTGTCAGTGGACACTTAGATTGTTTGCATGCCTTGGTTATTGTAAGTAACGCTGCAGTGCATGGGAATGCATGTGTCTCTTTGAGAGAATCATTTCATTTTATGTGGATATAGACCTATTAGTCACATTGCTGGCTCACATGGTAGTTCTTTTTTAACTTATTTGAGGAACATCTATACTGTGTTCCATAAAGGCTGTACCAATTCTCTTCTCTTCATGCTGCTTTTATAATCTAATAAAGCTTGTTTGGTTGGCTACTATCAATCCAAGTAAAAAATCTGAAAGAGCTGAAGATATTGGCTGAATAAGATTTTCTGAATATTCCTGAATTTAAAAATCAACTTCAGCATTATTTACAACAGCCAAGATATGGAAACATCCTAAATGTCCATCAACAGATGAATAAAGAAAATGTGGTGTATATATATGGAATATTATTCAGCCTTAAAAAAGAATGAAATTTTGCCATTTTGACAACATGGATGGACCTTGGGGCATTATCCTAAGTGAAATAAGCCAGATGGAGAAAAACAAATACAATACACCCGAGATGGGGCTGAGGGTGGGCTAAATGGGTGAAGGGAGTCAAAAGGTACAAACCTCCAGCTGTAAAATAAATAAGTCCTGGGGATGAGACGTACAGCATGGTGACTGTAGTTTGTAATATTGTATTGCATATGTGGAGGTTGCTGACACAGTAGATCTTATAAGTTCTCATCACAGGAAAATAAAATTCTGTGACTATGTAATGATGATGGATGTTAACTAAACTGACTGTGGTGGTCATTTCACAATATATGCAAATATTGAATCATTATGTTTGTGTACTAATATAATATTGTGTGTCAAATATACCTCAATAAAAATAAATAAAATTTAAATAAAATTTGTTCTAAAAATTTAATTACCTATGTTATAATTAAACCTTTCTTGCTTATTTTAAATCATGTAATATATTTTTAATATGTCCAATTTAAAAATTATAATTAAATATTAATTATTTCAAATATATGTTTCAAACAAAGCATTACTTTAACTTTATTAAGAAAGACACTCTAGCAAATTAACAAAGCTACCAATGAAAATGTCTTTTCTTGGAGGTTCTGGTTATTTATTATAAAAACTTTAAATATGTAGTTATAGTAGATTTACACAGGCTTTAATAATCATGGTGATTTAAGTTAATATAAATGACACCATTCACTCAATAGATGCTAATATAGGCACACCTACTATATGCAAAGTTCTCTATGAGGCAATACAAATAGTAATATAAAGTCTCCAACCGTAAGGAACCTACACTTCAAAGGACAGATGAACCAATTCCACAAATGACTGATTTGTGGCGCAAGCTCTGGTTGGTGGCAAAAGAAAAGGAGCGAGCATGTTATGGAGGCTTTGAAAAGGGAAATCAATGAAAGCTTCATAACAGAAGGGAAATTTATTTCTATTTACCCCCGAATCTTATAGCACATTATCTATACCACTTTGTAGAATTATTGAAGAATCTGTGATGTGATCAAAACCAACTAATGAAACAAGCCAACTCATTGGGGAAGAAGTAGACCATTGCTGTAGGCATGCTATACCGGTGCAACACTCTCCCACCCACAAAACCTGTCCTCTGATCTTATTCGGAAGACCTGCTATCAGGATTACTACCTTTAGGTTCTATACAGACTTCTTCCTGAATTTATCGCTTTTTTTCAAGTTATAAGGAAATCTTTTTATAAAAGTGATATCAGGAGATACCAGTATTCAAATATGGTATCGTACCAAATTATTTAGTCCCAAATATTTCCCCTGCCTTTTTATGGCTCGTCGTGTGGACCAGAAATGTGAAAAGCCAATAAAGGCTTAGAACAGCAATTCTAATTTATTTTCTGCCCCAATGCATATTAAAGACATACTCCTAGAGGTACTGCAATGTGTATGTACAGTTCCCCAAAAACTAGAAGGGTTGTAATTCCACAAATTTCTTTCTAACTCAAAAATGAGTTATTGAAACACAAGTAAGAGTAATATTATTATGAGTAAGTTTAGACCCAATCTAATTTGCAAAAACTAAGTCATTTACAAAATTTCAACATTTTATTAATAACAAATTACTTGTGATTTGCTTTACAGCTGTTAGCACACACCATTTCAGAGTCCCTGCTGAGACACAGAGGAAAGATGCCAGGAGAATCAGGAGATTGCTGCCCAGAGTGAATTCACAGTAGGCCAGTGTCCGGGACTCTGCTTTGCAAGTCTCCGAATGTATTCGTAATTAATGTCCATAGGGTATTAGGCCTAGGGCAAAGAGTTCATGCTCGACACCCTTATGAGAAGTTGATAAATAAAGCCAAGAGTCAGATGCATTTATTTACAGAGGAAAGACTGTTAAATGATCAGAATCTTATGAACTTTTCTTCAGGGCATATGTTTCTGCATTTCAAAGTGACTGATAAACTGATATTAACCTGGAAGCTTTGTGCTGAGCATGGAATCCGAGGAAAGGAGGTGAACAATCAGATCAAGAAAACATCTCATTGAACCTTGCCCCCTCACTACAATCTTTCTAGTTATCTAGCAACATTTTTGTCCTTTGACTCACCATACCTCATTAGATAAAAACAGGGATGTTTCCTTTTCTGAAGTTAGGTTTTCTAATGTGCAAATTCACCATTCCTTTATAAGTCAACATAATATCACATCACATTTCTCTCAATTCTGTGCTGATCTGAATAACAAAAGAGTCATTTCCAGAAATGTTTGACTCTTCTATAAAAGATTTTACAATTGAAAAAGCAGTTAATTACATGTACATGATGGCAAATAAATGTGCCTTGTGACCACCCTTGAGTGAGTGTTTTAATCACTGCCTGAGCTCTTCACTCCTCAACCTATCCCAGTCTGTTCCCCTCACCTGTGAGTGCTAATGGAATAGGAGCTATTTTTATTATTAGTCAAAGACAGAGAAAATAACTCTAAATTAAAGGATAAACAAAAATGGGTTTATATTCCAAAGCCAAAATATTTTACCTTCTCTATTGTTTTTGCATTTATATGCAATATTCCCATCTTAGCATACAGAATTAAATATTAACTATACTTACTTTTTATGTTGATCACAAAGAATTTAAGAAGAGTTGAAAAAGAAACCCCGTAGCACGGTGGTAGGAGCACTGGTTTCATTCGCAGGTTTCCTGGGTTCAAATAAAGGTTAATAGATCACTTAGTGGCCATGTATCTTGGATGAATTTTGAAAGTTACCAAATCTCTCTAGGCTGCAGTTTCTTACCTATTAAATGGAGATAATAGTAACATCTCCATCATTGGTGTCATTTGGATTAAAAGAGGATTTAGCATAGTAAGCATTCAAGAAATGCTAGCTATGATCATTAAAAAATCTATTTGCAAAAAACCTAAAAAATCCATTTACACAAAACAGAATTTCACAAATTCATCCTGAATATCACATGTTAAACTATTTCTTTAAAGTCTTAAAGTCAGGGGCCGGCCAGTTGGCGCAGCGGTTAAGTGCACACATTCCGCTTCAAGAGCCCAGGGTTCGCCGGTTTGCATCCTGGATGCGGACATGGCACCGATTGGCAAGCCATGCTGTGGTAGGCGTCCCACATATAAAGTAGAGGAAGATGGGCATGGATGTTAGCACAGGGCCAGTCTTCCTCAGCAAAAAGAGGAGGATTGACAGCAGTTAGCTCAGGGCTAATCTTCCTCAAAAAATAAAAAAATAAAGTCTTAAAGTCAACATTTATATTATTATCAATGATTGAATGCTTTATTGTTTGTGGGAAAAAATATGCGTCTCTCACAATACAAATACATTATCCGTAAGTATAACAGAATCCAGGAATAAATTTCCTTGTATGCCTAACTTACTTTGATTATACAGTCACTAACTTAGATAAAGATTAATGGGAAGCCATGGAGAGAAAACATGAGTGAGCAATATATCCTGAAATCCACTAATCAGTTTGAAAAAACAGAATTGATTTTTAAATTTAGTAACATATGTTTGTAAAATGACTGAGGCAGAAATCATTCAAACACCTAACCCATATTTCATGTTGATGGGATACATAATCACTACTTACAAAGGAAACAAAATATTTCATAAAAGGCTAAATCCTTAATTTCTGCTGCTCCTTCTAAAGAAAAATAATCCTCAGCATCAAATTTTTGGATACATTGCTTAGTTACAGAATAATCTTCAATTGAGAAAACATGTAAGCTCTTGGAAAATGATTAAATAGAAAGCAACATGAAAACAAAAGTAGGAGGAATCCTAAAGAAAAAGAAATGAAAGAATTTCACTTAATCCTTCCTTTCAAAGACTATCAAATCAATATTCCTGAAATTCTCTAATCACCAGGGTAGATGGTTTAGAATCCAAAATATGATGTTGTTCACAGTATCTCTTAAGAAAATTCTATGTTCATTCTTTAACATAATTTGGCAAAAAGAAAACTAACGTCACCATGCTTGTAGAAATCAAAACTGAATCTAATTTGAAGTAGCTAGATAGAAACATACCTTTATGATTTTTCTTCACGTATGTCTTGAAACAGAAGAAACATTTATTTCTCCTGAAGCCTTTCTTGACAAGTTTCAGCTTGACACTTCTGAATCTTTTGATTCCTATAATTTTACCTCCAAAGGAAGATCAAAGAGGTCTTCATATTCCAATTTACTTTCTTTCTCTCACTGATGGGTGCTTTGAAATAAAGATTTGGGATCATGCTTTCAATTTCTATTATTTCCAACTTTCAAGATGTGATTGTATTTTCTGTAGGAGTCAAAATACATTATCTATTAAGACCAAATTTTTCTCTTTCCCCATACTTAACTTTATTTCATGAATAATCCATGGGAAGAAGAGCTTTCAAGTTCAACATAAGTCAATGTTACCATATAAAAAATTTTTTAGAAATGAGTAAAGGACATTTTACTGAACATAAAAATTTAAAGCTAGGAATGGACACTTCACTAATGATCAGGTTGTGAAGAGAAGGAGAAGCGGTGTCTATCAAACACATCACCAGTCATTTTAAAATTCCAATTCCTCCTTGCTTTGCCTCTCTTCCTCTTTAGCTGCCTGACACCTCCTCTCTTGCTCTTCCCTCCATGACCCACATCAACCAAGGCTCTAACAAACAGCAAGGTCTCCTCATCCCTATTCCTATCCCATTGAGAAAATACATCCATCAGCCTTCCCCCCATCTTAGTGTCCTCCCATACCTTTTTCTGTGGAGCTATTTTTATTCTCTCCTCTCCAATTTATTATTATTATTTTCTAACAAGAGAGTAGAGATGTAGCTTTTCTTCCTTTCAGTTTCATATTAATAGTTTTGAATAGCTACTCAGTGTTTTAAATAATTGAAGCTGCCTTGTTTGAAATCTACTCTATTGTTGTTAATTAAAAACGGTTAATTCTTTTTTCTCTAAGGACAATTTGACAACTTCCCAGAAGGATCTTATTTTTTGAAGATCACACTTTTGGTTCACATTAGATATCTCTGGAATCAAACTAGAGATGATGCTGATTTTGCCTTAAGAAACGTGTCAACATTTGATGTTCTTTCTTCTTTCTGGTTTAATCACAGATCACGCCCAGGAATCAAATATTCAGTAGTTGCAGAGCACCAATGCTGTCCTCAGCATCACGCAAGCTACGGATGTGAATGAGAATCTACCTTTAAAAGGAAGTATTAGAAAAAACAGAAGCTAGCACTCCTCTGCACATTGTTAGAAAACAATGTCTTCTGAATTAAATGGAATAGTGAATAAAATTTTACTACCAGGGAACCTAATCTCGTTAAGAAACAAGTAGCTAAATATACTATATGGCCCTTCCTCTCCTGATAGAGCAGGAACAACCCCTCCTCCCATAGAGTGCCCAGAATTACGTCTGGACATTACGAAAAGTATGCCTCAGAAACACCCACTGGGCAGTTTTTCAGCATCAGTTTGTACTCGAAATCTTCAGTATGCTTCTACTTTCACCTCCACTTGTGACGAGAGCACCGTCCTTGAAGCTGTTTGAAGAAGACTTCATGATCCCACCCACAATGACCGTCACGAAAACACCAAACACCAAATTCCTGCCAACTAGGATTGCTCTTCTCCATACGCTCTTGAAACCAGCAGCAGTCAGATGTCAGAGCAGTGTCTGTCTCCATGCAGACTCTTGTGGAATTTAGAAGACCCAATGAGACCTTAGATTTATAGTTTAGAAACACATAATTCATCGCCTCACTTGGTTTTGTAATGGCCCTTTGGGGCTATAGACAGGTTGAGGAAATTATGTATATTCCAACTAATAAGTCACAAGGTGGATACTCAAAGCCATGTTTTCTATTTCCAATGTTTGTGTTGTTTTTCAACTTTGAGTAAACTAATAGTTAAAACAGATTGAATAACCTTTTTAGTAATTTGCATTTTAACAAAGTTGTCTAAAGAAAAATTAGTGGACATTGATCACTAAGAAAATATAAATTTATCACATTAATATACGTTAAAAACTCTCAGGAAAAAAATTCTTGATACTAATAGTTGATAAGTTATTTTTGCCAAAGTAGCACTTCTTTTGACCTGAAAATATGCCAAAATTTTTTAAAATAATTTTCTAAAATCATTATAATTTTTCTCTTGTAGTTCAAGGTGAATAATTTTAAATGAGTATAAATCATACGACTACTTATTTAATTAAATTATTTTAACTAATTATTGTAAATTATTTAATATAAATATAAATAAATTTCCATTGGAAAATACATGGAAAATTCAGGAAAATAAAAAAAAAAAAGAAAACTAAAGTGATTCTGGCACTCATTTCCAAAATGTGACCTAGACCTTTTAGGAAGTACTTTTGCACTGGAATAAATATAAATCATTTGTACTAACTAAAAAGATCAAGGAGATATGTCACTTATCAAGATGATCCTAAACAGCTACAAGCAAGACTTTATCCCCACAGTGTTCTTTCATTGAATCAATGTTATAGATATTCTGTCCCAACTGTAGTAAGAATTTTAAAAGTTCTCATAGGAAGATGTTCCTTTACAGCTACTGTCAAGCTGGGTTCAGCAAAAGCGTTTTTTCACTACATCTAAGTGCGAGCCTGTGTGTAAGCCATGAACAACAAAGTTTGAAAAGGAGACCATTGCTAAAACAGACACACAGAAAAGCATTAAAGTACAGAAAAAACCCTTGTTGTTTAATACCTTATTCTTTTAGATTGTAATTCATAGAGGGAGGAGAGTATTATATTTACTTCCAGATTATAGGTATCACAGATAATGATGCCTATTGAGCAATTTATGACACATTAAAATCAGTTGTCGAAAATCAAGAGAGACTGAAAAGAAAAAACACTATTTTTCCTCCCTGGGGATGACAATGAAAGTTTTAGAGGAAAGGGGAAAAGAGAAAAGAAAATGAGCCCCGTTTATTATAAATAACTGAGTAGGCAGTTGCGTCTCTGTGACCATGGACAGGAAGTACCACCTGCCCCCAAATAAGTCCCCTATTGGCTTGCCATATGGTCTGCAATCCCACTGTCAGAAATTTATGTTCCTACATCTTAAAGATCTTAAACAGATTTTCCTCTTCAAGTAGAAATTTTCTTAAATGTAACAATTTAGCCGTTATTGGTAATTTTGCTAGGGGCTCAGATTATTTAGGGAAGACCCAATCAAGTGACAATGGACATAGCATATCAACTAGGAATGATGTTGCCCTGATAAGCAAGTAAATGAATAGTAGGTGACACAGTCTAACTATTACCCTGTCTACCGTCTGAAGTCATTCAGCCAATGTAATACAACCACAGAATGTGTACAACGTGAAAGTCAACGTGCTAATATTCAGCTCGATCAAGAGAAGCACAAGAAAACAGCACGTCTTCCCAAGAAGTTTACTTTCTTGTTGGAAAAATAAGACATACATCTGAACAAAACAACTTAGCAATTCTAGACATTAACTAGTAAATTACACCAATGCGCATGGGCAATAATATCTTACAAGATGTGAAAGGCACCTTTTACTTGAATCCAGCTAGAACACCTCATCAGAAGAGAAGGAAGTAAAATTGATACAGTGTGAGTTTGATTAATTTAAATTGTAGTAAATGAAATTATTTTGTATGATCTAGAATACTGTATAGCTACATATCTATATGGATATAGATATCAAGATAAACACATCGATTTAATATGGATATTTAGATATAGATATAGACGAGGAAACAACTGCAGCTATGATAATCCCTATATAATCATGTTACCCTGAGGTTAGGAGGGTCCTGCTAAAACCTAGACTTGCCTTTCTGGTTTGGGCTAGAATGAAATGACCTCCTGTGCCTTGTTGACCAGGGAAATGAGATTCCTGAGAGAATAGGTGAGTCTTATGTTTCTCAGCCTTTTCAATCCGTTCTATCTTTGTCTTTCTATTGTGGATGTGACTTTAATTCTAACATGCTTCCCAAAGGAGGTCTGCTCCTGGGTATCAATTGATAAGTGTTATTACTGCTCTTATCTATGAATGCCTGGGTCTGATGTGCTTTTGAAACTGAGAAAATAGTTGATTATATATCAAAGCAGTAAAAAGGTGAACTGGCACCCTAGATAGCTCAAAATTGTACTGACGCCTTCCTTCCTATTTTGCCGTCTCACAGTAAATATAAATCACTACTGGCCAGTTTAATCAAATCCCATTCAAATAGACATTGCACAGTTTCAGAGATGTGATACATCTCACAAAATTGAAACACTTCAGGTCTAATTTGATCACTTTAAGTGGAAAATCAGTAATCACAAAAGCGAAGAAAAATTAAATTGATCAATAGGATATGTTTTTGTTACGGACAAAATTATTACCAGTCAAAACTGATTTCCATAACCAAATTAAACTGAAAGCCTGGCAAACTATTCTTGTTTTTTCTTAATCCTTAGCTATCTTCCCCCTATGCTTTCTATAACTCTTATCTTTATAGTTGAAAATATTCAGAGTTTGGTGCAAACACATTTTCATGGCACTTCATTGCCAGTACGAGAAGGCTGGGTCCACCACTGTTATTATGGACTCCCAGGGTAAAGGCCACGGCAGGGACTGATTCCTGGTAGAAATGCATTGTGTAGGGATGAATGAGTACCTGGCATTTTGTTCTATGAAATACGGTCCAAACAATCCAGATCCTCAGTGAGTTCACATGAAGCACTAACACACAGAAGATTCATCATCACACCTCATTTAACATGGAGAAAAAAGGTGACTGTGCCTTAAATTCATAATTCTGAAAGTGCTAGGGTTTATAAAAAGTTATTGTACAAAACTTTCTTCTATTTTCAGCTTGACAACATACCTCAATGAAATCATTATTTTAAACCTAAGTTTTAATATTTTTATTGACAAGTTTTGTATCAATAAATAACTAGAGCCTACTATAAAAACCAGGCTGTGATAAGGGAAAAGTAGGAGAGAAAAGAAAAGATGAATTAAAAAAATTTTAAGCCCCCACATAGTATTAATAGGCTGCCAAGATTGAAAACTGGATCAGAAGCTTAGATGGAAAAAAGGGCACAGATATGAGGAGACAGAGAGAGAAAAGAAAGAAAAGCTTTTATTTTGTTTTTTCTAGCTGTTATTGTAGTTCCTTATTCTAAAGAGCAGAGATGCTTGAGCATGAGTTTTGCCCAAAAGGAAGGAGAGAGAAGGTAAACATGCAGTAGCAAGCAGGTATCGTTGATGGATCACTGCACTTGAGAAGACGAGCATTAAGAAACCCAT